GACGGAACTTCTTGTGCTTCAGCTTGTGGCCATTACCCCTCGTCCTATCACTGGCCACCAGTGAGAACAGCCTGTCCCCTTCCTCCCTGCATTCTCCCTTCCTGAACTTATACATATTAATCAGATCCCCTCTGAGCCGTCTCTTCTCCAGAGAAAACAGGCCCATCTACTCAGCCTCTCTTCATACGAGAGATGTTCCATTCCCTTAATCATCCTGGTTGCCCTTCTCTGGACCCTCTCGAGAAGCTCCACGTCCCTCTTATACTGGGGAGCCCAGAACTGCACACAGTAAAGCTTTCCCCAGCTTTACCCAGCTTTTTCCCCAGAGCTTTCCCGAGCTCATAACTGTTTCCTTCCAGGATGGATCCAGGTTCCTGAAGTGCAAACAAGCAGCCCGCAAGGCTTTGAAATCTTTCCTCCCCCATCTGACATCTGTCAGCAAAACCCTCTAATTTGTTGCTCTGACTCAGACACTCGCAGATGAAAATCAGGCTGCTGTAAAAACTGTCATTCCTTCTCTTGGAAGCTCTTRGCCTGCCTGCCCAGAGCTACTGCCAGTTATAACCTAAATTATTATGAAAATATTTGGTGTGCTTGGGCTTAATACCTCTTGCTGGCATGTACCGTGGTTGAGCTGCATGAGCAGTTCAGCCACCCGAGTGGTGGTGATTGACATGGCAGTGCAAGGGAGAAGGAGATGCTTCTTGCCTACAGTTTTGCTGCATTTTTGGTCATGAATCAGAGGTCCGTGTTGTGCTCATGTACATGTATGACACCAAAAGCTTTCTGTTCTGTTCTGTGATAGTTGCGCTCCCTGAAAAGATCWTTGAGGAGTTGTCATTGAACCAAGTCCTGTAGCTTTTCACATATTTTATGCTTAGCATTTCTGGTCAACAGTTAGTTTCTGAGAACTAGTGAGTTTCTGCATCTTGAATTTCTTTTCMCTTATGGATTTGTGGCTTGGTTTAGTTGGATAACTCAACTTTTAATAAATGAATTTATGTTTTTTATGACATAATTCTTTAGAATTARATGACCATCCTATATATTTATCCTTTTAGACTAACTCTATGTTCTAGCTTGTATTAACATGCTTAAAAATCTAAATAATATAGTTTTTTTTCATAAGCTACTTATTTCTTTTTATGACTAGTGGAATATTAATTGGAGGAGTACTCACTAGTGGTTTTTTTTATTGTCTTCTATTTTGTTAGAAAAGTTAGAGATATGAGTTGACAGGTTTTGTCTTTTTTCCTTACTGTTTCTATACCACATGAAAACACACACTTTCCTCTACCTTCCTTGCTCCTTCCTGCTTTTTGTTATCCTTTTTTTTCCCCTTAACAGACCCTCCTTCCATATTGTTTACATTTATCTTCTCTATTTTAACTCTTTCATGCTGAGAACCAGGGCAGTATGGCAAATAATAGCTCTGTGAAATGCATTATTCATAGTCAAATAGACGCACACGTATACAAAATATATATATATAAAAAAGAGAGCTTTGCTGTATTCAGTTATACATTTTTTAGCCACAAAATTACTACTGAAAGTGTGAGTACAAGCATTTTTCTTTTTTCATGTGCATTTAATTATAATGACCTGGCAAACATGGGTCACATCCATCAGTCTAGACAGAATTTTAAAAAATAAGATTTGCTTTTAGACACATGTTACTTTATATGCCTGTCATACTTGAGTTGCAATATTGGTGAAGAACATCTGTGTTGCAGCTGGTGCCTACACTTGCAGAGGAGCAAATTGCTCTAACTGCCAGAAAAGCTAGCATAGCAAAGATCCATTTCTTTCTTTTTATACAGCATTAATTTCAAAGCTACTTAAAACCAAATTATGCTTCTAGTTTGTTTTCACACATCCTGATTATATTTTCCTCCTTGCAGTCACTGCAGTATCTCACTAAGGCACATAAATGTGAAATTCAATCAAGCAACTGGGAGAAGGATACTTCATCTTTTAAGGAAGTGATGAAAGGAGCCATAGAGATTGCACATGGTATGTTCTGAAAATAACATACATTATTCATGAAAATGTAAAGAATATTTAATATGCCTCCTTTAAAATAAATTTACATATATTTTATCCATTTTATTTATTTCTGCTAAGTCCTCTAGAATAAAGCATAGTTCTAATAGTGCTTAGGAGAATATGCTTGGAGTGGGGCAGAACTTGTGTTCTGTGAGTCAGCAGACATCGTGTATGGTAAGTGTATGATTGATGCCATGTTCACTCAGGCATTTAATGGTCCGGGAATTTTTTAGTATAAATAAAAATGAGTCAGTGGCTCATTTCAGTCATCAAAAAGTCACATAATTTTGACTAACCATACCATCCCAACATCTCAAGTATAGTAGTGTGTATATTTTAGACGTAGGAGATGGACAGAACTTGGTGCAGGTAATGACTCTGCAAGAGGGGTAATTTGAGCCTGGTTTTAGAGTCATCTTAACAAGATTACCTCGGATTCTCTTCATGAGTTTTTTTGGAATATTGCATTCAGAAGTTATGCATGGAAGATATCCAGAGATCTCTTTAAATGTTTAAAAGATTATCATGCAGCGATAATGCTTTTTTGTTACATTATCCTTTGCTTCTCTGTTTGTATTCTAGTGTCTATGAAGTGCAGTAAAAACAAGTCTAATCATCAGGAAGCTTTGCAAATACTTTCTTCAGCTCGGCTCAACTTACGTGGCTTGTCATCCAAAGCAAAGGTAGGAATGTTTAAGAGAAATATCTTTATTCTGTTGCCAGAACCCATTTCTTTGGTTTAAGTCATTTATAGATTAAATAACATTAATTTCTCTCATCGCATCATCAGGGAGACGTTCATCCTTGCACCGTTTAAAATTCCAGTTTTAAGGTGGTTTGTTTTCCTTCTTCCTCCAAGGCTTTGACTGAACTAAAATTATCACCCTAAGATTTCGAAGCTAACTTTTAGAAAGAATTTTACTTATCGTAAGGGAAACGGTTTCAAATGTTTATAAGCAATCAGTCATTTCAAATATTTTTTTCCTTGTGTGAGTAATCACAAGGGTAGCAGGGATAGTCTGAAGAGCAGTGGATATCAACCTGCAAAAAGGATCAAGTCTGCTAGGACTGCTTTGCATCACTTGAAGTTGTTTTATAAATGGAGTTTCTTATTAAAAGAGGAAAACCCTTTTTAGTAAGGTCTTCATGGATAGCATACTGATTCAGATTTTTTCTGGAAATCCTCACAGAGTTATATGCTTGGTTTTCAGATTTCTAGTCTGCATATCCATGCAAAACAAGGCACCCATACAGCACAAGGCTGTTCCTGTTTTTATCCTTTACCTTACAGCACCACTTGCACATCATKGTTTAACTGATGACTGATCTGGAAATCTTTTGTGTTCAAACTACGCCTAATATCTTTACGAAGTATTCTTCCTGTGCTGTGTGGGGGGTTTAGTAAATGTGAATTAYAGAGCCTAAGTTTTATAACATGTGTGCTTGTGTTACAGTGTGTTGATCCATCATCAGTGTGCTAAACTTGTCTCACTCTCCTTTAGTCCTGTAATTTTGAGGAGAAGGGCATAGGAAAGCTGTTTAAGCAGACCCAAACTGGCTCTGTAATGAAACTGTAACCTGTTAGATACTGACTTAAATAACTCTTAGGACTGATGGGAAAAATTACAACTGGTGTGTTCTGTTGGGATTCACAAAGTGGTTTAGAAACAGTCTGTAGTCTGAGTATGTCAGTAGAGAAGGTAGGACCACTTGACATAAATGTTATAAAACATAAGGACAGGTGGTTTAAATTACGCTGGATAGTGTAGTCACTGAAATACTAAGAATAAATGAGTCTAGGAAAATCTATTATTGACTCTTGAAGGCATTAAGTAAATTATTTTTTGGCAGATAATATTGTCTCTAGGTTTTATGGCCTTTTTGAGAAAAGTAACATGTTAGAGATAAAGCTCTTAGTGACCTAATTACTTTTTCCATACATTCCAATTTGCTATCTTATTTATCTCTTTAATTTGAAATAATGTTGAATTTCTAGACTGTATGCCTTTGGTTTTAAAACCTATAACCTATCAGATGCGGTGCACAAACAATTTAGTTTTAGCTACTTGTCTGTTCAAACTTGACTCCTGTTGCTGCCTAATGAGTCAGTATCAGTATCAGTAGCTGTACTGTGTATCTYTCTAACAAAAGGAAAAGTACCTAAGTGTTAAGAGCAGACTCAGGAGTAAAGATTGCAAGAGGAATAAAGGCACTGTGAAAGTAAGAGCAAAATGCCAAAACTTCCCAGGCAGGATATGCAATGGGAATAAACCAGTAGTTTCTGTACAAGGGAAAGAATGTTGTTCCTCAGGCTTTCCTGGGATCTATGTGAGTACTATGGTGTGGAAAAAGAAGTCACATGCCCAAAGAATGATGGTGCATGAAACCTGCCCAGTCTGCATCCAATTGAAGAGATCTCTTTAACTGYGTGGAGAAAAATAAATAATGAGCAAATAATTATATCATCCTGATTTATTTAGCTGTGTCTCAGCCAGAAAGAACCAAATTTTTCTGTCATATTCCCAGTGTGAGTTTGTTGGGCAGACAGTCAGAAAAGACTTCGTACTGGCTGAAGGAACATGTTCCTATTTTGGTGAAAGATGTTCCTTTGTTCAGTGACAACCCTGTTGTGAAACACACAGAAGATCTTTTTAGGACCTTTAAAGTACATTTTTGTTTATATACGTATCTGTATTGTGCCATTATGCTTTGATGATATAATGAAGATAGATGTACTCCAGAGRAACTTTTTTCTTCTGAGATAGTTTTCATCTCTAAACGTAGGCTTTTCGTTTGGGTAAAATGAAGTATGAATTGCTCTCTGTTGCTGTTTAGATAATAAAAGGGAAACATATGTCTGGATTTCTCCTCCTTCCCCCTCACCCCATACCTCCCCCTCAAATTTACGTGGAGTGGCACCATATACAGCCTAGCTATTACCTGAGTCAAAAGGCAGATTCTGGCCTGCCAAAAATTGCATGTTTTGGTGTGGCATGACCAAAGTAACAGTTTGGTAGGAAAGCTCTGGTTAAACTTGTATATCTCAAGACTTTAGACAAGTCATTTATTCTTCCTCTTTCTTAGTTTCCCTGCTAGTATGTTGAGATTAAAGTTGATCCTGGGTTAGCCCTTTTGTGGTTTTCTTAATGTCTTTAAGTACAAGCTATTTTTATTTCTTTGTAGTGTTTAGTTTTCTTGTATCTGAGTTAATTACATGCAGATGCATTTCTCCACCCACACACATCTCGACATCGAAAGTTCAAACATGTTTATTTGAGGTTTTGGAGAAAATGACACAGTATGATAAGACACTGGGAATTCCTAGCCATTAAAACTCAGAACTGTTTCATTAGCAGGTGAGTTGATAAACTGCAGTGACGGTCAGACGTTGTTCTAGTTTGAGTTTCAGGGTAGAGTCCTTTGCTTTTAATGGGAGCAGGAGTGGAAGTAGGTGGTCAGGTCAGAGCAGAAGCCCAATCTGAACAGCATCACTCAGCCCTTTTCAATGAAACAGCATCAAGTATGTGGCACATTCATARGCGCAACTTTAACCATAAATGGGTCAATTTAAAGAAGGAGATTCTGTCATGGATGTCAAAAATAACATGAAGGATGCTGATATGAAAGCTTTGGTAGTTCCTGAATTCTGTCTCTACACTGAAACAGAGGAACTGTAAGTATAGTTTAAAATAATTTGTTTGTTTTTGTTACACAGCAACTTTTCGTAGATGTAACAAGCGGTGAGGTTTCCAGTGAGATAGCTGATGAAGTGACAACTATGGACAACTTGATTGCGGAGCTTCAGGAACTGAGCAACCAACGGAGAAATCAGTGCTGAAACGCAGTCCAGATTTCATGGGAGGAAGATGATAATGATGTGTTTCATTTGCTGCAGGCTTGCTGATGAAATGGTAACAATTCCAGCACAGCAACGCGCCCAATAAACATTTTTTTGTACAATGCTCTTCTCGTGGTCAGCTTTCCTCGGGTTTTAGTCTGCTTTCTTTTGGTTTCTTACCTACTTGAAGAGCTTGTTTTGATCTACATTACATTGCATTGTTTGTTTTTTGAAGTATCTTCCGTTCAATTTTTCTTAAAACAGATATTTTTCCAGAAGCCTATGCAAAGTAGTTTGCTCACACGTCATGATTTTGGCTCTTTCTCCCATATAGACATGATGCAGTCTCCAAAAATGCAGTTATCTCTGTTCTACATATACGCACCAGATATGGTATGGCCATTAAAACTATATAGTTTCTATACGGCAAGAGTGTWGTCCCCAAAGAGAGAATCGGAAAGCAAGGGGAAACCAAAAAGAATTAGTTAATTGGGTTTGAAGCAAAAACTGTCTTTTACCATAAAGAAGGGAGACATTTTGGCATCTTTAGCTATCCTTGTAAAGCTTTTTAGAATGGAAAATAAATTATTTCCTGGCAGTATTTAAACAAGAAGTTCCCACTAAAATTATTACCTTAACAAAGGATAAACCTGTTAGTGAAGGAGACAGCTCCAAAACACTTAACTCATTGAAATGGTCCAGAAAAGGAGGAGGCATTAAAGTTTATTCTGAGTGAATTTGTTGGAAATGTTCCCACTTTAGTCATATGTGTGTGTGTGTGTGTGTGTGTGTGTAGTGAAAAACCTACATAATTGTAGGAAAAAAACAATGGGAAGTTAATCTAAGCTTATGAGTAGACCTTAATTTCCTTCTGCTTTGATTTTTTAATCATCTTTTGTTTCTAAGGTGGTCATGTTAAAAAGTGATTCTTCTAACTGCACTCCCATTTGGTCCTTCACAAGTTTTCTTAGCACAGGTTTCTTCTCATATGTACCTCCCTCTCTTGGATGTGGGGAATATAAACAGTTTTTCTTTCACGTGGTACAGCTAAGCCCTGCTATCCATGGACTGATATCCATAGTTCCYGAGGAGCAAAGCCATTACAGCAACACAACAGTTTTCCTCTAATAATTTAATAGAGGTGAGATGTCTGCAGGGACCTTAAAAAATATATAAATATACATCATTTGAATATGTAGAGACAATAAACATAGGGTGGAGGATGGAGAGAGAGGGGCTGGATTGCCTCTCAGGAATGACTGAACCATCATGTATTTGCTGTTACTAATAATTTGGTGTGTAGTAGGGGTCAAACAGATGAGTCTGTAACTTTTGTGTACGCAGACCAGCTAAGCAATTGTCTTAAGGCTTTTGGCAAAGGGCGTGAAGCCAGTGAAATTTGAAGGAAAAATTATGTATGAAGGAGAACTTATTTGTGTGGCCCAAGAGGATACAGTGCATCTCTTGAGACTTAATGCAGTTTTATCTACAGTGTGTTTTTCAGCCACGGGTGGGTCGAGTCTAGGAAGCATCTTGTGATTCATAGGAGAGCTGTGTGTGCMCAGCCAGGTGTGGTGCTGACCTCTTGTCTGGGGCTGGGACATTCACCTCTACTCATGAGGCAGGGCTGGTGAGGCCGAGCTGAGTCAGGCAGCTCATCCCACATAAATGCCAGTAAATGTTCTGTTCCATGTCACGTCATCCTGAATATTCGTGACTGGTTCATTCTATTTGTGACTGGTTCACCCAGAGAGACAGAGAGCTTTCATCCCCCGTGCAAGTGCTGGAATGAAATTTGGAAAAAAATCTCAGGCCTAAAAACAGTTTATGGCCTGTATGCAAGAAGGATATAGTTASGAGTTTGTTGAGGACAGGTATGTACATTGGTTAAAACAACACCTCTTAATTATTTTCAAAATAAGTCAGAAAAAAAAATATTAATTTTGGAGTCATTCTGCCCAGCAAGGTATAAGGTCACTCTGAAATTATTTTGGCTTCGTATTTCTGTTGGGTATTTCTGTCTCAACATCAGTGGATGTATGAATGACAGTACAGATGGGCAGAACGTATTTTGGGGGATAAGAGGAAGCCAAAAAAAAGACCTGCTATTTTCAGGCTAATGTCAATTAAAACTATRTACAAGTGCTTAAGTTCATCTGTGTTTATGTGGAGCTCTGTACCAAGAGTACATATGAAACAGGGAAAAGACAACAGCTGATTGTTACAATTTGGGTTCGCTGAAATTAAAAATAGACTAAAAACGTGGGAGGAAAATCTTATTCTAAAGAGATTGTCATCATGTATTGAGAAATATGTAGACATACAGGGATGTGTGTGTGTATGTGTGTATATATATATATATATATATACACACACCCCTAAACGTATCAAATGAGTGCGTCATAGAACTGAGTTGTTAATACTGAAGTTATAACAGACCTTTACAGGCAGATAAAGCCCACAAAAGTAGTGGGCAATACAGAGACAGGAACATACATCAGTGCACTCTCGCTGTGTGTTTCTAGCAGGCTTGCCACTGCAGAATTTAAGTGGGGACCACAGGACTGATAGGCTGTGATTTCAAAGGTGCCTAGTTGTTCCAGCAGTTCAGATGAAGAAACCTTTAAAGGAGTTTCAGCTTTGAATGTTTCATCTTAAAATTTTGATAGTCACCTTGAATTGATACAGAGCTATATAGCAGTTAAAGTGACTTAATTTGCCTTTTAAAAGATGTTTTATGCACAGAATTGCATATAAAAGTATGCCTGTACCCTACTGACAACTTGTGAGCCATTAAATAGGGAGTTTGGGGGAAGGTATAAGCAAATTAGGCTAGATGTAGCATACTCCATTCTGTATATATTATATGATAAAGGTTAGAAGTAAAGCCGGCAAGCTCCACAGGGTAAATGACAATAAAATATTTGCTATTATGCAAAAGCCACTGCCATATAGCAATACAGATAGCTTTTGCACCATTCGGTACTTAGAAAGCACTTATAAATAGATAGGTTTCAATCAACAAGTAGCTTATTCAGACATGCTCAAATATAGTAGCTGCATTCATTAGACAAACATTTTACTGAGCTACACTAATAAAAGAGTCAATCCTTTATAGGCTGAATGTAGTAGCAAAATTGCCTCCCCTCAGCCCTCTTGCCTCCCCTCAGYCCTTTCAAACCTTTGGTTTTGTTATTAAGGCCAGAAAACTGAAACTGGATTCAGCCTGGCCTCTCTGACCAAGACATGGATGTTGGGTATTGCCAAGTGTGAATCACTGCCTTGCCATGCTGGGGTAAATCACAGACCTATTACGAATTTAAGATGCTCACTAATATTGATCTTAACCTAAGTTGGCTCCTAGTAAGAACAGGGTGGTTTGGGATGAGAAATTGGTGATAATTAGCTCTGCTTTCTGTCTAGAACTGTTTTCCAAGTTGACCTAAGGATGAAAGCTTTTTTYTCTTTCCAATTTACTCTGACCCGACTGTTTTCTGTGAACATACCAAGAACCTTTTAATCACCAGTGATGTCACATATCCCTTCTTCCCTGCCTGCCTCCCTTTTTYTCCTCTTTTTATTTTAAACCCCCGTGAACTGTGAGTCAACTTCGATAGCTCTTAGCCAAAAACCAATTTAACGATTTAGGCAAACAAATACCAGCCAAGAGTCATGCAACGGAAAGCCCGGATTAGCAGCCTGAAAGCCTTCGCCACTGYGAGTTAGCCCGTTACTGAATTCGCTTCTGAAGTGGAGCAGCTAATTTTTGTGAGTCGTATTTAAAGTTAGCCCTTATGATTCAGTAGCTTTCCACAGTGTCACCTCTAAGTGAACGTTGGATTCTTTCTGTCTTAAGCAGAATCATTCCTTCCACTTCAGAGAGACTCTTGTCCTACTTAACTTTTGGGGTTCTGTTTCCTCAGGGATATCTGCTCCTTGCAGAAAGGTTATTTTGTAGTAAGATCAACTGTGGTCCTGTTCCCCTCTCCAGCTTCTCTGCCATTGGGTTTGCCTGCCCGACTTTACATCTTCTCTCAGTTGCAGGGGGCCACCTACCAATTTTGGGACCTTCAGACCCCTCTCACCCTAAAAAGCACTCCTGACTTTTACCATTTTTTTTTACCACTTTTGATGAGCTTCTGCTCTACAGTGACTTCATTTTGTCCCTACCTAGTGCCTATGGGGAGGGGAGGAAGAGGCCTAATGTCTCTTCTTCCTTTCTTTAAGGCTTTTTTAAGACTTCTTGGTAGGCAAGGCTGGARAAAAGGCCTTAAGGTAGCAATTAGTGTAGAAAATGGCTCACAGAGACGTGGAAAAGGCTGGAGTCTGTATGAGATGGGAGAGCTCCTCAGAGGAGGAGGTGCGTGTTGGCCAAGCCCCGCTGGGGATGAGGCGGAGGGCAGGAATCTCTGTGTTTGGGAGCATGAGGAGCTCAGGGAGCCCCTTGCACGACAGCCAAGCCCGTGTGGGGAGAGCAGCAGCGCGGAGACAGGCCGAGCCCTCCGCGCCTCCCGACACCGGCCACGTGACGGCCACAGGAGGCCRCACGTTTTTCCCACGGAGCCACAAACAACCCGGCTCAACCACCGCGAGGCCGGAGAGCAGCCCAGGCAGCRGGAACGGGCACAGCTGGAGAGCAAAGGTAAATCACAGCTTGGCAGCGGCTCCCGACRGAGAGAGCCGCTCCGCAGGTGCAAACGCCAGAGCTCTGCAGGGCTTTTAACGGCCCAGATGGTCTCCAGCAATCCTGTCTGCTTGGGAAGCCTCCAGCCATACCTAGGGTGTTTTGATGTGTTGTATTTTTAGCTGCCCGCCGTGCAGTGCTCAGGTTTTGCTATTGTCAACGCTATCATCTCCTATTTTTAGAGGCTTGTAATTTGACTGTAAATTCTCTGCAGTCCTAAAAGCGGCCTAGCGAGCACGGTCTCAGCTGGTCTACACTTACCATCTAAAAAACGGGCAAACAGCTGATAAGCTTGAGGAGCTCCTGGAACAAGATGATTTTCATAATTTTTAACACAAAACTAACTTATTGCCACGCTGAACACAGGTGTTTGTAGCTGAAG